ATATATGCGAATAATGATACAGTAGAATAATCAAAAATATAAATGTAAAAAACGAATATATAAATAAGTTGATAGATTTTAGTTATTTCAACAATTTAAAGTCTGTTTTCTGTGGCTGAACTAGTGTATACTTTTGGAAATTAAAGTGAGATAGAAATACGTTTGATATTTATTTAAAGAAAGAAAGAGAGCTCTAGAACAGTCTAGTGCAGGAACAGAAAATAGAACATTTAGGATATTATTTCCATTAGGATATGTCGCAAAAAATGGATATGTTATGTAGTTTACATCCACTTCTTCAGAGGGCAGTAGTGCGCGGAAGCATTTTGCGGTTATAGGAAAAAGGTTCTTTTGTCTTCTCTCTAATATCAGTATTAAAATTATTGATTGTCGATATACGATTGGAGATCACAATAGTTCTCAATAGTTCTCTTTTTCTTTTCTGCCTTGTTTCATTATGTGTTCCAACCTTTTCAACGTGTTTACACTGTAACGTACTATAAGCAATATGACAATGTGCAACACGCACATTTTATGTGAATCAATATAAATTATAAGCGTGAACCAAAGAGGCATGAACATTTGAACAATATCGCAATAAGTGTACTACACGTGGATCGTAGACTACTAAAAACGTTTTATGAATGTTTGAAGGGATAGACTTGTTTAAGCCATGAGAAAACATGAATTAAAATCAAAGGCATTTAAACGTGCTGAAAACAATTTGCTATCTAAATTGAATAATACGTTTTTGAAGAATTATCCACATCATGTAATGCCGGGTTACAACTTGAATAGGTCACCATGTATTGAGACATGGGATGAAGGGAATGCCCAGGGGCTTTACCAAGAATTTCCATATAATTGTGATTTGCCAAAACCATTATTGCCACCGGCAAAGTTGTCAAGAACAGGTAACAACAATACTGATACGATTTAAAGTGAGTTTTATTAAAATCTCTTTGTGAGTTTTATTAAAATATAACTTTTAAAAAAATTTATTAATTTGAGTATATAGTTTGTATTTGAAGTATTTAATATGAATAGGATTTTCAATTTCTTATAATTCTTAGACATAAACTTTACAATATTAATTTTAAATATAATTACATTTTTTTTTCTTTTAATACTATGCAGTACTTAGCGAAGAAGATCCAGCATTGCAACTTCTCACTTTGAAAAATCACTTAAAAGATGAAACAGATAGGCTTATGAATTACTATGAAAGACATAAAAAAGGTTGTACATAAATGTAATATAACAGATTTAATAACAACTTTTAACTACTAACTTGGTAAAATGTATTCTTGATAGAATTTGAATTACCCAAGAAAAAGATAAAGTGGAAGAAAGGATGTAAGGCAAATGTACCTAAATATATCGCAGACATAGCTGAATTGCTTGACATGGATCCGGATCCTTATTTTGAAGGGGTATATTTAACAAATTGTAGCCATTGTTGGAAAATATGAAAGAAATAAATTGTATATTATGTGATAACAGAATATTATTAATAAAACATCATTTTAGACTTACAACTGGTACTATACAGGCGGATGTTTAAACTATGTTCAGCTAAATGGTTGGGATGTCCTATTGTTTCCATTTATGGGAGACTTAGGTATTCTAGTATAAAATATATGTTCATGGATATATTAATTTGTGCAGTGTTTATTTTAGTCTTTCTTTTAAAATACTTTTCAGTTGCTGCACATATTATACCCATGGAAGATTTTATATGGAAACCATTGCTACAAAATTCAGTTAAATATAAATTACATGGATCGTTGTATGAAATTAGACAATGCAAGCTTACTGATACATGTATGTGTATTTATAACCTTAAAATTAAAAAATATATAAAATCATAATATATCTAAATTTGTTATATTAGTAATGATCTTCATTTTTAGGTAGAATTTTAGGAAGACATAAAGATCAATGTACTCTCTATACACTATCTAATTCTGAGAATCATTTGCTGCTTAATGAAGTTTACAAGCAAGCATCAAAAGTGCCATATGTCAGTGCTGATTTGAGTTTGACTAATATTAATTATCATTGTACGTTAAATGCAGAAAAAATATTGTCCTTATGGGATATAAATAGACCGTTAGTATTTCTTTATATTCTTTATGTATCTTTTTTGTTCTTTTAATATCGATGTATACCTTTATGTATACCTTTTTCAGGAATTATATTAGTAGAGGTTCTGTATTACAAAACAATACCACAACACATGATGCTTGGGGGTGTATAAGATTCCAAGAAACTGATCCAAACGTTTTGATTTACGTAGATAGATGTTGCTTGCATTATCTTGATACTAGAGTAAGAAACTGACAAGCTTTAAATCTATATTTATTTTCTTACATAAATTATAAATTTTACAAATTATCATTTCCATATCATTTCCTAAATCACTTATTTAATAATAAGAATATATTTATTTTTTATACATTAATAAAGTATCACTATTTTATTGGGCTTTTTACAGACTGCTCTTGATCAAGCATGTCTCACGTTGTGTCCGAAATTTAATTTAGAAAACTGTGAGAGTTTGTCGGTAGAAGTACCTAGTAAACACAATTGTTGTCATTATTTAGGCACTTATCATTCCTTTTTGATGTGCGATAATCGTTCTCCAAAGCATTGCGTACGACAAAAATGGACGCACCAGTTCAAGGATACTCCGCTATTGGCAGCTGTTACTAACAAGTTAATAATGTTAAATAATAATTCTAATTACAATAAAAAATTAATTGCTATTATAATAACCACTACACCGCAACTATACCGCTTATTACAGTGATGACAAGGAAATCATTATTCTGTCAACTCAAAAAGCTGGCGAGAATACAATAATTTTGAACACATGGATGGATGAGGAGAAGTCTCATTCATTTAATTTACCTTTCACACCTCCACACATTGCAGAAACGTTAAATGAATCTCAAATACAAGGAATGTGCTTAAATCCGTATTTACAAAGCAGATTTGAATTATGTAATGTTGGTAGCGCATTAGTCACAAATGTAAAGAAAGGAGGAGTATCCTTCTTCGTACAAAATTCTATTGGTATAATTATTATATCTCATTTTATCATAGTATTACTGGTATTATTATATCTTGGAACATCATGCCCAACATATTTTTTCTTGTTTTTATAGGTGATATATTTTATCAATGCATAACACACGAAGACATATTGGATAAATATTCTCCCATAAATAATAAAGCATGTTATGCATTGGATATGTGGGAAAAAGCTTTATCAGTCCAGGATGAATCGCTAGTACCTTTATCTCTTACTGACAAGTGCAGTATGCAATATATATATAAAAGTAAATTATTAAAATTTTTATTTAAATATATTTTGAATGATTAAGGCCGGATTTCACCAAATTAATTTTAATCTCGATTCAACTTTATTTTCTTATAGTTCTAAGAATTAAAAAAAAAATGAATAAATTGAATTGAGATGAAAATTAATCTATAATATGTTGATAGAAACGGGCATAATTCTAATAAGTTAAACCGAGATTAAAGTTAATTTTACATTGATGGAACCGGGCCTAAGTAACGCAAATCATGAAAATAATTTTATAGATTTTAAAAATCACAAGCTCAGCCGTCATTTAAGATCCAATAATGAAAATGCAGACAATAGTTCTGAGCCAACTTGGAAACAATCGTTAGCTGCGTTGGGATCATATATGGATCTATTAGCACCAGAACTTCTTGCTGTTTGGGACATATGCGAAACAGTACCTGCATCAGGAACGGGATCAAATCAGAAAGTTTTGAACTGGTTGGAATCCTCAACTTCAAATCATCTTGTCACGCAATCACAAGATGTATCTGATTACATTCCTACTTCTATCAATACTCAAGAATTAATTAATGTGTCGCAAGAGCACGATCTTATTGACATTGACGATAGCAGTATACTGCAAGAAATGTTCTTGCCAAAAGTTAAATCAAACTAGTAAGATAAAGTGTGTTTAAATAATTTACATAAATAGAAATTAATAGAAATATAAAAATAGTTTAATATCAAAGTTACATATTACTAACGATAAAATTATGTATAAATAAATAAAATTATTTTTAGAATAATTATTTATTGTACATAACAAAAATTAAACGATATTCATGCATAATATCTGTAATGCGACGAAATGACTGAATATGTTGTGTTTTTAAATAATATACACATATTTAAAATTTTAACGTGATTTATTTTGACTAGCGATTCCGTAGGAAAGATGGTTTCCATCTCGAAATAAGTACTTTGCTGTTGTCTTGTTGCTTGTTTTGTTCTTCCTCCATTTGCATCTGTCAATAATTATCAAATATTCAATTATATACATTCTTTCTATATTTTACGATAAAGTTAACCTTACGTTAATAAAACCGGATCTAACAAGTAACACATATGAAAATAATTTTACAGATTTTACTTACTAAAAATTTTCGTCGATTTTCTTTGAACATTTCCAATGGATTGTCGAATTGTCTATAATAATTTAGTACGTCTCGCACATCTTGTACATTTGATGTTAATATCGCTATGGAATAAAGATAAATTTTTATCATTCAATGGAGATTAATATTAAAATAATATTGATATTTATTATAACTGAAAAATTTATACTAGGAATAATAATTCCTATATACTACAGAAAATAGCAAAAATAATGCTATATAAAGTTATTTTTTTCTAAGTCATACAATGTAGTATCATCATCATTGCCCGTCCATCGAGGAAGTTTAAATGCATTTTCTGGATTTAACTTCACGCTATCTTCATTCCAATCGATAACAATAACCTGTAATCGTTACATATAGTAATAACTCTAAAAAATTTTCAATATACAAATGTAATAATAAATGTAATTTTTGTAATGTGTTAATAGTTACTCTACTAAGATCACGATTGAGAGCTCCTAGATCTTTAACGTGATGTCCATCCACAAAACGTGTTGCATCTCTCACTAATCTGTACATGATGTATCCATTCGGATCAAGAGCATCCAAAATAGGGAACACTGTCTGTAAATGAAATAGGTATAATTTTTTCTTATATAAATATAATTCTTTTTTGCTAAAATATATTTAAAACAAAAAAAGTTAAAGACAATTGTACCATTCCTTGTTCAGCTGTATAAATCACAATCTCAAATTGTGGTGGAGCAACTGCTTCTAAAAATTGATCGACTCCAGGTCGCTTTTTAAATCTCCATCCAGTTTGATACTACAAATAAAACATCGTACTCATATAATATCAAGTACAAAATTAACATGTTTATTATTAGTTTTATTTAATATAATGCATGTTTGTACATGTATTTTATTATGTGCATACAAAATGTATTAGAAAGGCAAACTGAATATTTTAAATATTGATTCTGTATTTTAAATTCTATATTTTTCTAAACTATAGTTTATATGAAATAATAATTCTAAGTTACATATAAATGATATAGGTCTTTTATGAAAAAGTAATGCATCACTCACATGTGATACGTGATAGCAAATATATTGAATTATATTGAAACTTAACAGATTAGATACTTACTGTCCAATCTGGATGTACGAGAAGATCTGTCATTTCCAAAACTAGAGTATATGGTGGCTGGATATATGGATGTTTCAATGGATCAGGTAACAACTTTTCCCTACTGGGTTCTTGTACTAGCTATAAACACAATAAAAATTGTAAGATATATCTCTAACAGTAGTAAGATACAAATAAATATAATTTCACATGCTAAAATGTATTTTTGAACTTAGAATTAGAAAATATACTGAAAAAAGTTCATACAAACTATAAACAAAAGACTACAGACTTATTTTAAGCTTTTCATACATTACTTTATTATACTATATATATATATATATATATATATATATATATATATAATATAGATATGATTAATCATAAAAGTCTCATACTCTTGTATAATAATTGAGTTCTCTCTTGACCCTCTTGTAAATCTGTTCAAAGAACGGTAAATTGGAAAATTCATCCTCGATGACATTCCCATGTTCGTCATAATTAGGTCTTCCTAGTTCGTATATTAAATAAGTGAAGCCAATACCCATGAATACACCAAACGTTGCAAACCCATAGTTCATCATTCTTCTCGATCTTTCACGATTCGCTTTTTCTTCCTCATCTTCTTTTTGTTGTTCACTTTGTTTCTTGTGAATTGTCGCTTCCTGTACCAATGATTCAGCTTCATTTATCGACGACTGTATGTTAGTTAGGTTACTAGTGATTTTTGGGCGCTCTGTTGCTGCAAATAAAAAATTTTGCTCATAAAATAAAAAACATCTAAAATATTTGTATACATATATTTATAAATTTCTTCAGGTCAAAGCAAGGACATAATATTTTTTAAATAAATTGCATATGCAATATGCATATGTATTACATCCAAGATATAAGAAAAATAAAAATTGACAGTTCCATCAACGTTAATTTTTATTAAATATTGACATTATATATTTTTGTTGTGAACGGCATGTGCGATTTGTTATGAAAATAATTTTAATTGTAAGAGGATCCCACGCTTTCAAGAAAGAGGTTATGGTCATACTTACTTTCAGTACTGTAGCGATATTTTTGCGTCGATTGAATGAGCGATATTCGGCCAACGGGCGGTCGAAGAGTACAATATGTTGTTCCCGCGTTCGCGTTGTATATTTTACACAAAACTCGTAGACTCCGCATTGCAAAGGCCATAATTTGAGGATACCATGAGCTTTCCGCCTTTCGGTGCGAATTACTGCACTAGTGCACGTACTCCTGTATTTTCCGGCCGGCGAGGCTTCATACGCGGTCGATAAATCTGAGCGTCCATCTTCCCGATCGAGGATAAATGTCGAGAGTACTTGCGAGAGGAAAATGTATGATACACATATATACATATGTATGTAAAAATGTATACATTGTACCTCGGCAAACAAGCTGAATGAACGTTACTTGTCGTTATTTTGACGTTGAAGACGTCATTATGATGTCAAAATAACGATAAATAACATCAGCTGGGACGGTTACAAACAAAATTTTTAATTGTGAGGGAAAAAACGAAACCGAAGAGCTCGAAAAATTTCGTAATTCGCGATTTCATTCTGCCGCATATGATTGAGCTATATGATTAACAAAACGGTTTAGAAATTTTTGGATTGCATTCAATTTTTATTGATACATTAATGATCTCTATATATTAATTATGAATTGTTAATATTTATATAAAGCAATAGTTAATAAGAATATTGAAGAGAGACTGAAGAAGAATAAAAATATTGAAAAGAGATTGAAGAGATACTCTAAATTTCTCGCCCCTACATTTGATTTGAATCGATCATGTTTTCGCGGGTCGATGTTTTGTCGAAGGGTCACGTGATGACGCGTCGCGAACGCGCGCGTTAGACGCCATCTTCTTTTTTCAAACAATTTCAGTTTGCACCGGTTATCTTCCGTGATGGATCGGTCCGTCGCGATGTCGCGATTTCGTGTGGAAGGAACTTCTCAGAAAGACGGTAATCGGAAGCAGGTAAAAGTTTAGAAGTATGTAAGGTACAATTCAATGATGTGCTGCGAAATTTTGTCCATTTCGCTGACGTTGAACGTCATACTTACGTAAATTCGCGATATGTACCTGACTCAAGGTATTTGGTAATGGCCGAAGTACTTTCGCTTGATCGAAGTTTCATGTTGCGCTTTAATTCTTGGTGTAGATTAATCAATTCAGAGCGGTGTCAAAAAATTTACGAATTATCGCCATATCGTGATTCTTGCCGTTCGCTTCGTCAGGGCGAGGAGCACATTAATAACAGTATCAGTGTGCTCCTCGCTCCTCGAACGATAAGAATCACGAAACGACGGCTGTGGTCAAAGTCTCGATACAAATGTTTTGAAGTATTTGATGGACCAATTAGAAGAAAGAATTTTACAAACTGACCAATTAAAAAAACGCTTCAAAGCGTTTGCAGCATTGACCATACCCGACATTAACAATGGATATGGCGGTAATTCTTTGGTGTTTCTGAAGAAAATGCCTATGAAAGCCTTTAAAAGAATTAATCAATTATTCTGTTCTTCCAAAATCACATTTATTTTATATTACAGAAGGAAGCTGAGTCTATTAGTGAAACCTAGAATTTACAAGAGGAAAAGAAAGAGGAAAAAAGAGAGGGGATGGAATTTTTTCGCCGTGTTCAACACCACAGACTATCTTTCAGTAGTTCAGCCATTCGTTATGTCCAACCGTCGCTGTAAGTAGTACTACATGTCTATCAAGTGAATCTATATTGAAAGAATTTGTTAATATGGCATAATAATATTTTCACTTAATCTTATGAAATTGAGAATGCGAAATCAGTAATGAGTATAATAAAATTGGCTAAAAGTAGGGGAAATAGCAATATTAATTTACTTGCGAAATACTAACAAGACTGAAATATAACATAATAATGTAATATGATAAAATAATGATATAAAATTTTTATATTTTTTAAATACATGAACTGGGATGTCATAAAAATAATAATATTTATAATATCTTTATTGTATGCATATTAATGTATGTATACCTACTTACATATATTATATTATACATACATACACATACGTGAATCAGAGTCTCTTTCACTACCTCGATTAATTTAGTTAATCCCTGATAATTATACGGGGTTCATTTATGCCCATTTCTACCAACATAGATTAACTTTAATCTCGATTCAACTTACTCTTCTTTTTCTAATCTTTAGAACAAAGAGTAAGTTAAACCAATATAGATTAAAGTTAATCTATATTGGTGGAAGTGGGCATTAGCCGATGATTACACGAGGCTCATTTAGGCCCAGTTTCACAATTCATGATTAACTTTTAATTGAGGTTTGACTTATTTTAATCTCGGTTAAAAGTTAACCATGAGTTAACTTGTGAAACTGGGCCTAAATGAGCCTCATGTAATCATCGGTTAACTTAACTAATTGTAAGGTTAATAAAAGAGACTCTCAGTCAATTAATATAGATCATTTTTTAAGAAATTAAGGTTTCTTCTTGACTACGTATGAATTATATTTATATTATGTACGCAATTATTATGATTCTTATACAGTTTATTTCTTATATGTATGTGTGTGTGTGTGTGTGTGTGTGTGTGTGTGAAAGTATGAGATCATATAAAATAATTAATGAATTATTTATATTTAAAACAAATTATTTAAATAATTATTAGTCAAGTAATTTATATTCATATTGTGTATATACAATTTCAATCTAAGAAAAGAAAATTCTAAATGAATCTTTTATCTTCATCACATTCTTGTAAATCTTAAAAATTCTTTGCTGCAAATATATGGAAATATGAAATCATATAAAATACATTAATTATATTAAAAATAAATTTTTTAAATTATTTTGTTATTTGTATTTATATTGTATATTATATAACAAAAACATAAATATCGGCACGCAATCATTTCTGAAATTAATTCATTTATATGAATATATATAATAGTTTAACATCTTAACATTCAGACCGTGGCGCTTCGTATTCAAAGTAATGTTAACGTAAACGGTCTTGTTTCCCGGTCTTATTGTTTATAAATATGATTATTTAAATAATTTGATTCAAATATAAATAATTATACATATGGACATATACATAATTATTTGTTTTATATATATATATAAAATATAAAACTTGTCGCAAGTAATAGATAATATCATGATTTAAATATATTAATGAAAAAACTTAAGATTGTTATATACATATAGGAGTAATGTGTAATATACAACGTGGAATAACGTACATACAGGAAGCATGAATGCAAACATGTTTTTCACATAGCATGAGATATAACCGGGACGATTTTGTAAGGGAGAAAATGGACGTACTTGATTCCTCTATAACTAATGAACATTTTTCATTGTTTTTCGTAATTTTTGTCGCTCAGTCGAGCTTTGTTTTCCCGGTTCCTCGGATTTATCATTCCCTTTTAACGTTCTCCAGGTTTTCTTTTCGCGCGATATCTTTTTACTGTCGTGACCACAAATACGAAATGGTCAAATGCGCAGCATTACTCACATTAATTAAGCAAGAAAATATTAGAGTTGCATTTGAGGAGAAGAAATATTTATGAAGATATTCATTGACCAGCAAGAAACAACTTATTTTGTATAATATACTAATATTTTATAAAATTATGAGAGTAAATTACATATACTTGAAAATATTTTCGCAAAATATTGTTTAGAATATTTATTAAATATTTTAAAGGAATTTTTAATATTACAAAGTCGAAAAATTGTAGAAATTGCAATAATCAAATTGAAATTTTTCATCTGAAGGAAAATACACTGATTGGATGTAAAAGTGGTTCTCGTGAATCAAGAAAGTTAGTTGAATAAATTGAAGTGAACGAAAGTAAGTTAGCGAGCGAGATTTCACTTTGAAATTTGATTAACTTTCTATTTCTATTGAATCACCCTTACCATTCTTTATTAAATTTCTCAAACTTTCTCAAAGATGCGACACAAAATAAAAATTGATATGATTTTGCGAAGTTGCATTGAATTACACATTTTATCATGTTTCTTCGTGTGCAAGCTTCGCAGCGATTATTATTCAAAATTGACGCGACGCGATGGGCGAACGGCGGTGAACAGCGGCGAACCTATTGTGATTCCATTGGGTCATCCCGTTAGTCATGATTAAGCAAATTTCATACTCGAGCCATTAATATTACAGCAGGTGACCGCGCGAGGTCCACAAAATTCCCCTGGCTAGTATAGAATGCATACACTGACCCCGACAACCACTATGTCGTCGGCGAACTTGCTGAACTTGATTAAATTGCGTTTGACGAGACTTCGGCTATTTATGGGTCGAGAGCAAATAATCGAATTTTTGAGTTCTCTAATGCACGGATAGATTTCGTTAGATATTAGAAAAATAAAAAAAGAGAAAGAAAAAGAATTGTGTTTGACTAAATTACGGGACATCGATTATTTATAGATTATTTATAGATTGAGAGTAAATAGAATGGTTTGAAAATCTTTTATGTTTAATGATAGATTTTTGAGAATTAGCAAAATAGAGAGCGAGAGAGGGGGAGGGAGAGGGGGGTGAGAGATTGAGTGATTGATCTTTATTAGCTTCATTAGCTACAATGTGTGATGTAGTCTAATATAATGTCTATTTATTAATTATCTAAACCGCCAGACTTAAACATTCTATATATCTACACTATCCTTACACTATCCTTCTCCACTCCTCATATATGGCATTAGCGCTCTCTTAAAATTTTTTAATCTTTTCCTTTCTTATTTTATTAGGTAAACTGTTGTACATTTTAAACCCATCATGTAACAACATTCTCTGTTCCTCTCTAGTTTTACATCTTTTAATGTATATTTCCCTTTGATCTTTCTCTTGCTTGTATTTGACAATGTAGTGTCACGATATAGTATCAAATTTAATTATCGTTTTGATAAAAAATAATATATATTTAGTAGGAGCAGTGGCGACTAACATTAGATTAAATTTGACTCTATAGATTTAACAGTGTACAACACATCTCATGTATGGCAAATTCATATTAATTCGACGAAATGTCCTCAATTTCGATCCTATCTTTTTCCCCAGATAGTTAACATGTATTGCAAAATTTAAATGTCTATCTATAATGACACCTATTTAATTTCACTAACCACTTCTAATGCTATATTTTCTAATTTTACTTTTATATTGCTTTCCGATACTTTTTTCCTAATATCTCTAATTAGCACAACTTTGGTTTTATTCATATTTAATTTCAGTTTATTATTTTTCAACCATTCTTCAATTTTTTGCATCTGTATATTAAGATTATCATTTATTTCTTGGCTTATATTATATATATATGGCCTATTGTATATATTAGTGCATCATCTGCGAATAATTAATTTCATAATTGTTACAAACAATCTCATCAAGTCATTTATATAAAATAAAAATAATAACGGTTCTAATACTGATCTCTGTGGAACTCCCAGCGTCACAGCAGTAGATCCTGACAAACTTCCATTAAATTTAATTCTCTGAGTTCTGTTTTCTAAATAACTTTTAAACTAACTAAGTACTCCTGTTATCCCATAACTTTTCATTTTCTTTAACAAAATATCTCTGTCTATTAATTCAAACGCCTTTTTTAAATCTAAAAATATAACTCCTATTATCTTTCTTTCATCTATATTTATACTTCTTTTCCAACTTGATATGACGCATTGAAGGGCAGTCTCATGAGTGTCTCGCTCTAAACCTTGATTGGCACTCTTTTAATAATTTTTATCCTTCAAATAACTAATTGACTGAACTATTATTTCCAGTACCTTCTCATAAATCGGTAATTTATGTATAGGTCGAAATTGTTCTATTTTTTTTTTGTTCTTTGTATTTTTGATATAGAAATTATAATAGCTTCTTTCCACTCATTTGGAAATATTCCCTCCTCTAAGGATCTATTCAGTATTTCGCATAATTTTATACCTACTACCATTATCACCCTTTTTATTATCTCAACAGTTATTCCTTCTTCTATATCACTTTTGTTTCTTAATTTATTAATTATTCGATTTAATTCTCCTACATTAATTATACTAAAAACTTGAAATTTACTCCCAGTATATTTATCTATTATTAATTCCAATGTATCATCACTTTCTAAAGCCCCTGATATGCTATCTACAAAATATCTATTAAAAATATTTGCCGTTTCATATATATTTTTTTTCAATTGAAATGTCACATTACTATATACTATACAAAGTGTCTCCATTCTTTATATGTATTATCTCTACTTGTATTACCCTTTAGCAGCTGCTGAGAGAGGGGGGGGGAGAGAGAGAGAGAGAGAGAGAGAGAGAGAGAGATAGAATTGCGTATGATGATTAAATTGCATTCGACGAAACTTCAGCTATTTATGAATAAATAATCTCGAGTGATTTTAAAACTTTCTATGTGCCGATAGATTTCGAAGGTATTAGAAAAATGAAAAAAGAGAAACAATTGCATATGGTTACTTAAATTGCGTTGATGAGATTTCGGCTATTTATGGGTCGAAGGCAAATAAAATTCTCTATGATGCAGCAGATTTCGAAAGCGTTGGAAAAAAGACAGAGAAAGAATCGTGTATATGTGAATACACACGATGTGATATATATACTGTATATTCTATGTGATACGTATATTACCCTTGTGTATAATAAGTATTCAAATCACATAATT